AAACATTGAGTTACCACATGATCCAGCAATGCCACTCCTGGTATAAGCCCAAGAGAACTGAAAACATATGTCCACACAAAAAACGTGTACATAAATGTTCAGAGCAGCATTTTTCATAATTGCCGAAAAGTAAAAACCCAAATGCCCATCAAATGATGAATGAATAAACAAAATACAGTATATCCATACAATGGAATATTATTCAGCAATAAAAAAGAATAAAGTACTGATTACTGATATATGCGAAAACATGGATGAACCCTGAAAACATTATGCTAAGCCAAAGAAGCCATTCGCAAAAGTCCACATATTATATGACTCCATATATTTGAAATGTCCAAAACAGGCAAATCCATAGAGACAGAACGTAGATTAGTGGTTGCCTAAGGGCTGCGGTACTGAGGGAAAATAAGCAGTGACTACTAAAGGGCACATGGTTTCACTGTGAGGTAATAAAACTGTTCTGGAATTCAATTGTGGTGGTGGTTGCAATACTCTGTAAACATACTAAAAACTATTGAGTTGTACACTTTAATTGGGTGATTTCTATAGCATATGAATTTTAACTCAATAATCATTATTTTTTTTAAAAGTTTTCACAGGAGAATTTAATTTCCAGGACCAATTGGGAGTAGAAAGGTAAATATTTGAAAGCCAAGAAAGGAGAAACACAGGGTTACCAATAGCATTTCAATCGGATGGAGGTCAGATTGATTTTCTGTGCCTACCATATCATAGAAGAATGGGTTGGGAATGCACCTATCACACAGAAATAAAAGACAATGTGAAGCAATTTGATTCAATACATTAGGAGTTCCTACTCAGGCTGATAACTATTTGCCCCACCATTTCCTTATTCCTTAGGTCAATTCAGGACACCTTATTCTTCACGTAGTCTGCTGGCTTTTTAGGCATATCAAAGACAGAAAGAGCATGTAGAAGTAGGGCTGCTGACACTACATTATTATCAGCTATAATTATGGTTAACTAAAAATCACCCTGTGTAATTATGAATCATAAGCACAAACTGGTATTAACACCCCTTCTAATCAAATATTAATATTTAACTAAGGAACTCCAAGAATTATCCAGCTATTATCTGGTTAATTTCGATTAGTATCAAAAGCACAAGTATGCTTCACTATCAAACAAGTACCCTGAACCTTGCTGGTGTCCCATATGATTTTGCTTGAAAGATTATAAACAAGCATGAGCAAAACTGGTGTTTATCCAAACATCTGTTGAACAGATTCAATAAGCCAGTTTCTCACCTTTCCTTTGAAATGAATACTTCTGTAACCGCCCCATGGAATCAGGCCACAGACAAGTTGGACTTTTACTTGGGGTCATCATTTTCACACCGGTTCACTACAGACCATTCGTTGGTGTATTAGTCTGCTCCAGCTGCTATTAAAACAAAATACCATAGACTGGGTGGCTTGAAAAATCGACATGTATCTCTCTCAGTTCTGGAGGCTGGAAAGCCTGAAATCAAGGTGCTAGCATGGTCAGGTTCTGGGGAGGACCCGCTTTCTGGTTTGCAGATGGCTGCCTTCTTGCCATATCCTCACGTGGTAAAGAAAGCAAGTACTCTGGTCTCTTCTTATAAAGGTACTAATCCCATCATAAGGAACCCACCCTCATGATCTCATCTAAACCTGATTATCTCCCAAAGTCCCCACCTCCTAATACCATCACATTGGGGGTTAGGGCTTCAAATTATGAATTTGGGGTGGACATAAACTTTCAGTCCATAATAGTAAGGAAAGGGAGTATAGCTTTAAAATAAAAACCATATATATGGCAGTTTAGCAGGAGAAAGGAAGGCTGATTTCTCTACTTTAAAATATTTTAAAATAAATTGCAGTGTAGGATACATACTTATTGGTTATTATCTACCATGTTTTCTTTAAATAAGAACAAATTCACTTACAAAAGTCTCCTATGCCTCCAATGATGATAGACACAGATGCTAGCCAATTTGTACAGGAGAAGCTTAGCGATAATATGCTAGATCATAACCACTGAGTTTTTCAAGTCAAAGCACCAGAGCAGGGTCCTGGTGTCTAGGCATTTAGGTGGCGAATCCAAGGACAGTGGGAGAAAGACAAAGATCAACACCGCAGAGTTCAATCCACAGCATTTACTGGAAAAGGTGATTCCAAATCTTTTGGAGTCTTTGATTTCACACTGTTGACTGCTAAAAGTAGTGGGTGCCATCTATTTACTGAAGGGGAATCTAAATTATTTGGCTGTATTTCAAGATCTACAGCACATCTAAAGATATCCCAAGAAGTATTAATATAAAGAAGGCTGAGAAACATTAGTTTACACAAACCCCCAAAAGGCATATTATTGGAATACTATTATAATACAAGTCTTGAGTTCATTTTCAACACAGCAAGTAATGTTTCTCATGGTTGGAATATTACAGTTATTCCAAGTTGTTAGGGATTTTTCCTAATACAGGGCACTAAAACAGTTTTCAAAAAGAGCTGCAAGATATCAATAGTACAAATGAATTATTTGCACATACTAATGGGCCTCTGGAAATCCCTTATTAAAATAAATCTATTTAGAGAATATGAGAAGTTTATTTTTATTTTTATTTTTCCCTTAAAGGAAAAAAATAAAAGAAAAATCTCATTTGTCTATGTTTGGGAACAGTGAAAATAAGTATATTAAATCAGTTATTTAATCAGTAATTTATTCTCGATACTATTTGATCCTCCCACAATTTACTATTCAGTCATCCAGATTCCTTTTCTCTTATTCCTAATCTATGATTTTTCCCTATTTTCTCTATTTGGAAAGCACAGTTATAAAACTGTGCTTTCCAGGTTTATTTGCCTTGAAACTGATGGCACATGGCTTTGGAACTTAAGCTCTGAGCCTCAACTGACATTAGCAGAAGTCAAATGTAGGTAGATACGTGTGAACGGGTCAAATCCTTAGAGAACAATGAATCAAAAATACCGGTAACAAGTATATAAGGCAATGTTACGATTCATCTAAACTTTTAGAACAACCAAAAATGCTACCCATATTTATACTTTTTCTGAAAATAGAAATAAGCAAATGGAATTCTCTTTTAGGAGAGCCCAAGTAATGTGGAAGGGGGAATACATGTCCCTCTAGGTCAAGTCAGGCACCAAAGATCCAGGTGGAAATCAATCTATTTGGAGACATCTACAAAAGCAGTTTTGCATGTCACTCATTCACAAGTGCCGTATGGAAAAGAGCTGAAATAAGGGCAAATTTACCTAGAAGTTCCTGAATCCAATGCAAGCTACAAAAATAGAAAGGACAAGGGCAGCAGAAGTAACATTTATTAAATGTCCACTATTTGCTATGTCTTTTACACGCACATGCCCTGCCTTCTGTTTTCAATAGTACTCAAATGTTTATGGTCCGCGGGAAAATTTCTCAGGAGAATTTCTCCCAACACAATCTTTCTTCGGGGTTAAAGTTACCCATGGGGAAAACTATATATATATTAATATATAGGCCATACATGTTGAGGGGGGAACCTACAGAAATAAAAATATAGCCACTTCTATTGCCTCTCCAATAACCTACACTTTAAGTAAGTGTGACGATACTGGAATCTAACTCACAAAAATCTGTAACGCATCATGCTACATATCCATTTAAGTATTCAGTAAGAGTTAAATAAATGTTGAAAGTATTTGGAATATAGCCTTTTGCTTTTCTAATGTGCATTTAACATTTCACTCATAAAAACACGTCTTAAAACACACACACACACACACACACACACCCTAGACACAGCCACATTTATGTCTACTCCTGAAAATACCCTGTGACCAACAAATGGAAAATAAATACTATGACAGTATGAAATGGAATGATGACAATTAAAGTATGAAAGGAAATTCCAAAGATTTTAAATTCTTCTAAAAATAGTCTTTTTTACGTCAGTTATCTTGCTTTCCTTGTAAATTCACAAGTGTCTACAGAAAGTAACCTATTCCTACTTTGAAACTTTAAGACTAGTCTTGCCCATGATATCACATATAATCATAAGCAATCTTTTTACATCCTTACAAATGCCACATCAGAAAATTTACACTGCAAGGGAAGCCAGATATTTACAAGTAGTATGCAACACATTCAACAAATCTCAGTAGAAATCAATGTTTATTGTACCATTCAGCATTTGGAGAGTAGCTATAAAGAGTAATATCATTTAATTAAGAGTAGTGAGAAGTACAAGTAATTCTCATACTAGTGGACAAATGTTTTACTAGCCACTCATTTCAATTTATTGATCTCTTCCTACCTGAACAAGCACACCTAAATCTGATTTGTGTGTGGTGTGTGTGTGTGTGTGTGTGTGTGTGTGTGTGTGTGTGTTTTATTCTGCCTTTATCATGTACTTCAAACAAAACATACGTGGGGAAGTAGGGTGGATTTTGTTTTGTTTTAAAAACATCTAAAGGTGACATAGAGTTTAACTTCACAGGGTTGTTTACTAGGAGGTCGGTGTTCCGAAGAAGCAAGCCATAAAACACGCACAAAATAAAGCTCTTTCAAAAACAATTTTATATATAGGGAAAAGATGGGAAGGCAAAACATATGTTCAACACGGTGTGTAACATTCCTTCCAGTCATCAGCAACAAATTCCCACAGAATCTTTGTTCTTCGATATTTGTAAACAAAAGCTGGAGCCAGCGCTCGGCCCCGGCATCCAGTCCTGTTCCCCAAAGGCGGTCTAGAGGGGCTGACAGACTCCAGCACCATCCTCGGTCCAAAAGAAAGCCCCATCGGAACTCTTCTGCCCCAGCTTGGGGGCTGGAGTCGACCGTCCCTGCTTAACTTCACCGCAGTTACTCAGGGATTCCTAAACCTCCTTGAGCCATCTGTCTGCACTTTGCCAGGCACCCCGAAACCCACGGCGGCTCTGGCGACCCCCGACCCGGGCTCTGCGAGCCGTGCCCTGGGCAAGCGCGCCCGGAGGCGCCCCGCGGTGGCTTACCGAGCAGCGAGCCTATGAAGATGACGATCTGCGCGGTGGTGGTGAACTGGCGGTATAGCTGCGCCTCGCCCAACTCCCCGAGCGCGCTGCGGTTCACGCCCGCAGCCTCGGCGTCCGACGCGGTAGGCGGCTCGCTGGTGTTGCGGGAGATCCAGCTCCCGTTATGGCCCATGTCGAGGCTGGGGCTCCGCTGCGCTCGCCGCCCGCCCGCCTCGGAACCCTGCACCAAGCCTGTCCCGCCTCGGGGCGCGGAGGGACGCGCGGGTGCGTGGCACTCTCCTGGAGAAGCCGGGGTAACCGACGGGTCCCCTCACGTCTCCGCTTTGCCAACCCCGGCGCCTGGGAGGTTGAGAGGGAGAGAGACGAGGCTGCGCCCCATGTCTGTTCCCTCCTGGGTCCCCGTCAGCAGCCACATGAAGGGGGCACGGTCAGAGCCCGCCGAGTGTCGTCTGTCCCTCCTACAGGGTGGTCAGCGTGGCCCAGCCCACTCAGCAGCGATGGAAACACAGAAGGAGGCATTTGATGGTCAATGAGGGCGCTCTCCGCTCCCGCCACTCCCTTAAACCTCGGCTCCCTCCGCCCCCCGAGGGCCAGGGCATCCCTCCCAATCCCCCTGGGCTGTCGGGCTCGGCCCCTCTCCTTAGAGGGAAGAGAACGTTTGGCCGACGCTATTTTTCAATCCTGCTGGCTTCGAGGCTGGATGGCGATGTGAAACCAATGACATGCCCAAGCCGAGTGGCCAGAGCCCCGAGGGCACCCCCGAGTCCCCGACAGCGCCCATGGGTTGGGCGGAAAGCCCTGAGTCTCCCCAACAGGCTGGCCCTGTGCGCCTGGCCGCCCGCCAGGACGCCCGGCTGTCTCCTCCGGCCCAGCCCCTCACTGCGGGCTCCGACCTCCTGCCTCGGCACAGGCTGCAAGGACCCTGTTCCGCAGCCCCTTTTTGCCTCTGCACGGCCGGGCGCCCCCTTTCGTATCCCCACTCCGGCCCTCGGCCGCCGCGACAGAGCTTCGCGGCCGGGCGGAGACAAGGGAGGACGAACGCCCCTCATGGGATAGAGACACCATCTGACCCGCCGCCAGACTCCCGGCGCGCGCGCCTGGGACAGCCGGGGGCGCGCGGCCGGCGGGGACGGTCACGTGGCACGCGCGGCCCCGCCCTCATGCCGAGGCCGCCGTGGGGAGGGCGCCATCTTGTCCCGGCGGAGCGTGATTGCCTCCGCTGGGAGCGTGGGAGACGCAGAGCTTCGGCGTCTGGCTGCGGCGCACAAGTTTGGAACACCTCCCGGGGCTTCGCCTCCGTACTAGTGTCGGCACTGCGCTGCGTCTCGCCAGCAGGGGCTGCCTGCAGACTTACGGCCACTCGTTGCTGCCACCTGGGGGGCGAGTCCACAGCCTTGGGTGTAGCCTGGAGTATTTGAGAAAGATGGAGTATAAGAACCCAGTGCCTGGTTCCCTGGGCCCTTGTATTGAGTGTCATTTCTAATATGTACATCGTATAACTCAGGCCCTTGGATTCCGGGAAGGACGAGTTGGGAGGGAGCAGCTTCCCGCGGGCTGATGCAAAAGGTTGGGGAAGCTGAAATAATCAAGTGAACAAGAAATGGCCAAGTGGGAGAAGCCAGACGGGAGAGAGGAAGGTGTACAGCATCCAGAAAGAGGATCTGGGGAAAAGAGGATGGAAGATTTGCTTGGTTTGACTTTATGGAAACTGGTGTTTTTTAAATAAGTGAAGTACAGGGTAGAGGGCTTTGACATGTTGATAGGTAGGACTAGATCCGGTTGACTAAAATTACAAAGTTATCTCTTGGTTGCCCTGTTAGAGCCGGTTCCCCTCGGCCCCAGGAACAGAGAGGCAGAGTCACGGAGGCTGCAAATGGCAAAGGAGTTTATTGGCTAGCTCGAGCTAGGGTCCAAGTCCCAGAGCACCAATGCAGTGGCCTCTTCTAAGGGCTAGGACCCCGCCTTGGGGTAGAGGTTAAGCTTTTATACCTTTTTCTGTTTTACACACGACACACAGCTTTCACACGACACGCTGGGCACACCTTCCCCCTCCCCTCCTTAGTTCATTGGTTCCTTTAAAAGTGGCTGATCGTGTTGGCTCCTGATTGGTTCCTTTAAAAGTGGCTCCAAGCCTCGGGATTTTCGCGCCAGCGCCAATTGTGGTCAGCCTCATTTCCGGGGAAAGGGCAGCATCATTTAGGGAAAACCGAAACTTAGGCCTACTCCAGGAAGTTCAGCCTGTCATGGAGTCACTCCTGCTCTTATTCCTCTTTCTGATTAACTACATTTAACAAACAACTAAAAGCAAGCACAATCACAGAAGCAAATAGCATCAGTTAGAATCAGAGAGAGCACATTTTTCTCTAATCTCTAATCTTAAACAATTCGTCTCACATAAAGCAAAGTATATTCTCCTAGTATCAATTCCTGTTTTTCAGCCCCAAGCATGATTCTGCTACAATATGGCAACTTTCGCTTCCTTATTTACTCCTCTTGAAAGGGCAAAAGTACATGTCTGGTGCATCTTTGGATTGTCACGATACCTGCACATAGTAATCTAATCAGTTATTGTAAACATTTTGGCGCCCAAAAAAGAGAGAAAGAGGGAAAATTAATTACACTAACTGTATTTCCCCCTTTAAAATGTCATTTCCAGTAGTAGTTCCTGGAGTGCAAACAGGAACTACTGTTTCAAGATGAAACCCCTTACACTATAATCATTATAAAACAAAAATTATAATAATGATTCACCAACACCCAGCACACTCCTTTGGGAAGGGTTAAAGAAGAATGTGTAAATAGAGTTGTTTGATAACAGTTATAAAAATACTCCTTTACCCACCTTCACCCATCATCCTCTATTCATAAATAGTAAGGATTGGGATAAAGGTATCAAAAAGAGTCAAATTTTGCAGGTGTTAAGAGTGAAGAAAGCAAGAAACCTCTCTCAGGTTTCCATTCTAAAAAGATACCACTAAATTCTATACAGCCCTTAAAGAGTATAGGGCTAGTAGAATCTGGAAACAACCTAATCAGCTGAGCTCACCATGATTCTCAGACTTGAAGGATTGCCACCAGAAAATACAGGGCCAAGGACAGGAAGAGAGTGGCATAATTCTCATGGCTTTGTGCTATATGAATTTTTCACTGATTACAAGAATGAGTCAAGAGAATTTAAGATTGTTACGTGATGTAAAAGATTGGACATGATTTAAATATATGTTAAATGTCTATAATAGTGTTATTTATACCTGTTTGATCATCTATCACTGCGTAACAAACCATCACAAATTTAGTGGCTCAGACAACTCCCCGTGCTATCAGCTGGGGTAGCTCAAAGTCACCACCTGGGTCTGGAATCTGAAGGCTTGTTCGCTCACACATCTGGCAGTTGATGCTGGCTGCTGTCTGGGAACTGAGCTGGAAGATCTATTAACATATGTGGTCTCTCCATGTGGCTGCTTGGCTTCCCACAGCCTGGCAGCTATGTCCAAAAGTGAGCATTCCAAGAGAGACAGAGTTCCAAGAGAACAAAGCAGAAGCTGCATTGACTTTTCTTTCTTTCTTTCTTTCTTTTTTTTTTAGGCTAGTCAAGTGAAGTAATGGGAGTGGAGAAAGTACAAAGAAATCTGTAATCGGTTGTGATCAGTTAGTAATAAACACCATTGCACTCGGACCAGCCTGCTTTGATTTGTAAGACCCAATCTCAGACATAGTATTATTCCCACAGTACTCAATTTGTTGAAGCAGTCACAAAACCACCACATTTAAAGGAAGGGGACATAGACCACACCTCTCAATGGGGGGAGTGTTAGTCACATTGTAAGAAGAGCATGTGGAATAAAGATATTGTTGCAGTCATTTCAGGAAAATATAATCTGCCGTATTTATTTTCCTTTTGTCAAAAAAATTCTTCAAAATGTCCCATTTCTGATCATTTTTTCTGGAATTAAACCTGAACAGATCCAAACCACATAAACTACAGTCCATTTCAATTACTTGCCATGTACAGGTGTTGTCTTTATTGTAGTCTGGACTGCTGTAACAAAATACCTTACACTGGGCAGCTTATAAACAACAGAAATGTCTCATAGTTCTAAAGGCTGGGAAGTCCAAGATCAAGGTACCAGCAGATTCAGTGCCTGGTGAGAGCCCCTTTTTTGGTTCATAGATGCTGCCTTCTAGCTGTGTCCTCACATGGTAGAAGGATGCCTCTTTATGCTTTTTTTTTTTAATCTTTCAAGGCAGGGGTATTGATTGCTATGCTACCTGGCTGGCCCACAACTCCTGGGCCAGGAGTTGATCCTCCTGCCTCAGCCTTCCAAGTAGTTGGGACTACAGGCATCGGCCACCAGGCCCAGCTCCTATTACTGCCTCTTTTATAAGAGCCCTGATCCCATCCATGAGAGTAGAGCCCTCATGACCTAATCACCTCACAAAATTCCCATCTCCTAACATTATCATGTTGGTGATGAGGTTTCAACATATGAATTTGGAGGGGACACAAACATTTAGAGCATAGGAGGTGTTATGTTGATATGAGCTGGCCACTGTTGACACCTGGCAGCAATCAGAGACAGCCATAGCTGGAGCCAGTAATTAGAATCGCAAGCCTACACATTTATGTGCTGGCTAATTTTTATCCAAAACTTTCTGAAGCTACAGTAAAAGCAGTTAATGGGAAATGGAGTAGAGTAAAAAAAATAGGCAACCTCTGGCTCTAGCTAATGCTATTACAAGTAATTTTTCCTTATAGTGCTCTCCCAGAATGAATAGTAGAAGCAGGCATCCTCCCAACTTAAAAACATCTTGTATTTTCAAAGTTTTAAAGTTAGTCGTGTGACAGCTAATTTTGTGTGTCAACTTGGCTGGGCTAAGGGATGCCCAAATGCTGGTAAAACATTATTTATGGGTGTGTCTGCGACGGTGTTTCTGGAAGAGATTAATATTTGCATCAGTAGACTGAGTAAAGAAGATCCAGTCTAACCAAAGTGGGCGGGCATCATCCAGTCTGTTGGGCATCCAACCCTATCATCCCCCTGCAGTAGAACAAAAGGCAAAGAAAGGGTGAATGTGCTATCTTTGAACTGGACATCCATCTTCTCCTGCCCCTTGGACAACATTAGAACTCCTAGTTGTTGGGCCTTCAGACTCCAGGATTTACACCAATGCGCACCCCACCACCCCACCCCCACCTGCTGTTCTCAGGCATTCAGACTAGCTTTCCTGGGGCTCCAGCTTGCAGACAGCATATTGTGGGACTTCTCAGCTCCATAATTGCATGAGGCAATTCCCACAATAAATTCATATATATATATATAATTGAATATGAATATATATATAAAAATATATATATTCATATATATAGAAAAAAATCGAAGATCTCCTCCTACCTCCTATCACCTACACAACACCCTCACATGCCCATATGTGGCCTTTGTTGTCGTTGAGACAGGGTCTCACTTTGTCTCCCAGGCTGGAATACAATGGCTGGATCATAGCTCACTGCAGCCTCGAACTCCTGGGCTCAAGCAATCCTTCTGCCTCAGCCTCCTGAGTAGCTGGGACTACACGCACAGCACCATGCTCAGCTAATTTTTTTTATTTTTTGTAGAGATGGGATCTTGCTATGTTGCCTAAGCTGGTCTTGAACTCCTGGCCTTGAGCGATCCTCTACCTCAGTCCTCTACCTCGGCCTACTAAAGTGCTGGGATTTCAGGTGTAAGCCACTGCACCTGGCCCCTATGTGGCCTCTTACTAAAAGGGGAGAGAAGAGAAAAGCTAGAGAAATGGAAGTATTTTTGTGTTGGTAAGCCCAAGAAGCAGCATACTGAGAAAAGAGGAGTTCTTATGGCCCCTGGCTACCCATCTGGAATAAGCAGTTCTATTCTCAAATGGCTATTTCTATGCCTATATAAAAAGACACAGATTATGCAGGTTATTATGTAGATATCACTAATGTTTAACAATATCTCAGTCTCCTCTTCTTCCAGGCATACAGAAGACTATATTTCTCAGCTGCCCTTACAGGTAGGCAGGGTCATG